TGTGGGATTAGGTCACCACATGACCCGTCTTACACTCACAATCACTTCACTCCCATAGCTTTGTATTCGTAGTCAATCAGGATACAGACACGTGTAATGGGGCCGGCCTGCACTCTGCTTAATCATTGTCTGTATGAAGCAGTTGGGAAAGACAACATTGCAAAGTATTTATAACCTGCTTTGGCTGATGTTTAACCAGACTTTTCTAATTATGCAATTCTAACGTTTGGATTTGTTGACAGTGCGGAGCAATCTGTATCACAGTGGCTGTTCAAATCCAGCATTGCAACTTTGTGGATGAGATTTGTGGAAAAGCGGCTGGATTCATGGGAAATCCTATTTCTTCTGTCCGGTAATGGCTCTCGTGCCTGGAACACCACCAGGAGACGGGGACTTTCTAGCTTTTTCCCCGGAGAAGAGTTGTCTTCTTGATGCATCAGACTCCAGCGATGTGGACGAAGGCCTGCTCGATGGCTTGGAGCTAAACCCCTTTGACGGTTTGCCATACTCCTCGCGGTTTTACGAGCTCCTGAAACAGAGGGAAAAGCTGCCCATTTGGAAAACCAAATATGTCTTCCTGGAGAGTTTGGTGCAGAACCAAATTGTGGTGGTGTCAGGAGGAGCCAAATGTGGCAAAAGTTCGCAAGTAAGTTTGCTGGTTGTCAGTGCTTCATTTCTACAGCTTTGAAAAGTTTAGAGCACAAAAGGAAAGTTGTCAACCTTTTTAGACAAATCTCAAAGCTAATTCTTTGAAAATTGCAAACAATAGACCCAAATTGCCTGATGATGGTTCTGATGGGCCTTCCAACAAGCCTTAGGAAAAGTGGTATGCCAAAGTGTGCATCCAACTAGAAACTGTCATTTCTCTAGGGATGGTTGGAGATGAAAGGAAGACTGGGGTTGGACAATACACACAGAGAGGTAGATTTATTAAAACTGGAGCACTCAGGATCCAGTGCAGCTGTGCATGGTAGCCAATAGTTTTACAGCTTGTTCAATTAAGCTTTGTCAATATAATCTGGAAGCCGATGGGTTTCTGTGGAAAGCTGCACCAAATTTTGCACTGTCCAGTTTTAATAATAAATAACCCTCACAGTAGTTCACTTTTTAGTCACGTTCGCTACATTGGGTCTATTTTTTTCCTTCTGTTATAAAGTTTTAATTAAAGAAGAGCTTTGCCCCTCCTTGTATTTTTTTTTTCCTTTCCTCTTACCTTAACCATAGAGTTGTCCTGAATAAACATATACTCACAGAAAAGCATTGTTTGTAGTAACCCACCGCTCATGCAGTGCCTCACGCCACCATCTTCACTTCTTACATCAACAGGGGCTGGCTGTCTCTTCTGTGTTTTTGCAGCCAACCCCTGCTGACCTATGGCTCTGCATGCAGTGTGTTAGAGATTGCCCTGAAGCCTCATGGGATGCATCACCTGAATGTCCCAGGAGACTTCAGGCAAGGGGATTGTCCTTTCTACCTAGAAGAGAAAGATAAAAGTATGGGGCAAGGTCTTGCAAAAGCATTTTAGAAAAAATGTTTTTTTCTTTTCTATCAATACATAACAAGAGGAGGGAGGAGAAAGTGTGTAAAGTGCTTAAAGAAGTTGAAGGTCTGCTTTAAAGTTTTTAGGGGTCACAACATAATACATATGTGCTTGTATATATTTGAGAAGACAACGTTGATCAGTTAAAGTGTTCCAATGAGGTATATGTACATTCAGTCAGTTTGTGTTTGACAAAACCTAAAGGAAAGAGCACAGGTTCAGGCTCAGGTGGTTTTTCTGCAGCTTTTGGGGTGTAAAGGTAACTAAATTAGGGCAAAAAAGGGGGGGCTCAAGGCAGGCAGGATAAAGGTTGGTCATGGGGGGGGGGTCTGCGTAGACCAGGAGGGGATGGTAGAGGGCTCAAAACTGGTACGAAAAGGAAAACGAAGGGGGATATGGGGTAAACGAGGGGGGGAAAAGAGGATAGTGGTAAGACACCGAGGTCCAGGTTTCTGAATAAATGAAGGTCAAGCATTTAATAAAGAGTGGCCACAAGTTGCTCACAGGTAGTGTGTTACCCAGGGGTCGCATATGTCATGGAATTTGGACAGTCTGTCACAATCAATAGCAGACAGCTTTTCATATAGTATTCACTGATACATATGCAATTTTAATCAATCTATTGGGATGTTAAGTGTTTTTCAGGCCTTAGCAATGGCAGCACCAGGGACCTATTTTACCTATAATGGCATTTGCCCCATGTGAGCAGCACAGTAGCTAAGTGGTTAGCACTTCCACCTGGCAGTACTAGGGTTGTTGATTCGAATCCAAACCACAACACCACCTGCCTGGAGTTTGCATGTTCTCCCTGTGCCTGTGTGGTTTCCTCCGGGTACTCGGGTTTCCTCCCACACTCCAAAGACATGCTGGTAGGTGAATTGGCTCCTGTCTAAATTGGCCCTAGTATGTGTATGTATGAATGTGAGTTAGAAACCTTAGATTCTACGCCCCTTGAGGGTTAGGGACTGATGGGAATGTACAATATATATGGAAAGCACTGCGTAAATTGACTGCACTATAGAAGTACCTGAAATAAATAAAATAAATAAAATGTCCAAATGGCTGCTGCTTTGATGTAGAAATCTTCTCCCCACTCCTGCTGGGTTCTCCGCATGGCACTGATCTTCCAGCCCTTCTGGAATTAACATCAGCAACAGCGAGTCCGAAAGAGCTGCGCCATCCACCCGTCTCCTCCTTTCAAAGTACTTTTAATATTCTTTCCCAATGTACAAAGTGTTCTGTGATTTGGAGGAGGGAGATACCGTCATTCATCTGCCTGTCATCTATTCACTGAATGTTTTGTGTTCTGGGAAAGAATAGTACAAGTTCTATGAGACCGTGAATATAGTCATGTACATGTTATAAGAGATGGTCAGAGACTGCTGACATGCTGCATGTGTGGTTACAGATTGTAGACATTCTGCAGGAGACAGTGAGTAAGTAAAGGTTATAAGAAACTGTCAGAAATCACTGCAATTGCAGTCCCTTTACAAATAATGGTCCCACAATGACTTCTAGGGTCCAAGTTGCTGCACAGAAAGTACTAAAAGCCACAGGTTGACCACCAGAGAATTAAAGAATAAGTTCATCTTTTACACAAAAATAATAAATGCACATTTTTTGCAGGTTAAAAAATGTGCATTTATTTTTTTGTTTGCAGGAGCCTGTAAAGCATTGCACCAGCGATCAGCAGATCACTGATGCCATGCAGGTCTCCTGCAGACCTGTGAGTATATCTGCTTGCCTGTGTGAGATGTACGGCCAAGCAGATATACTGACATGAAGATTCAATTGACTACCGCAGCGCTCCACAGTGCCGTGTTAGTTCATTGAAAACTACCAGCCAACAGCCACTAAGGCTGTTGGGACTTGCAGTTCATTCATTCACGGAAGACTATGAATGAACGACGTGGCCCCGCACGGCCGCGCTTTTTTAAAATCGGACAGATAGGGGAACTTCTCCCCATACTTCTGTCAGACGGAGCATTGGGAGCATGTTACATGTTCCACCCTAAAAATGGGTGGAACATGTAACATGTTCCCAAAGGTGGACTTATCCTTTAGAACAAACCCTTGTTTCATTTACTATTTGTGTACACTGAAGAGTAAAGGCTAAGTTCTCCTTTACAGAAAAAAATAATACATGCATATTTTTTTTTTTTCCCAGAAAAAAGTTCATTCATCATAGAAAGCATTGCACCCGTGACCAGTAGATCATAGGTGCAATGTAGGCTCCTGCAGACGTGTCCTCCAGCTTCCAGCCCATGTCTCTGTACAGGCTTTCTGTTTTGAAAGCCAGAAGACATGTCAGTGGACTACTCATCAGCATCCCAAGTCAATCTGCTGTGGTGGAAAACACTAATTGTAGTTTATTCATTAACAGAAATATGTGAATGAATGATGTGGCTATGTTACAGGAGGTGCGGGGAGAGAATCCCCCTCTGCTGTCACGGGAAGGGGGGGGGGGGGGAGGGGGGCAGAAGTTGGAACATGTTACATGTTCCACCCTAAATCTGGGTGTAACATGTTCAAAGGTAAACTTATCCTTTAAAGTGACACTAAGTATTTTCCAAAAATAATCCATACACATCCACTAATTAATGGCCCTGTAATCTATTTTATTATGAAATTGTTCCTTATTCTGTTTTTCTGCCTCCTTGTAATGTCCTCCCGAGATTTGTTTATTAAACTAGAGTTTAGTGTCACTTTTAAAACTTTATTTATCCAGCAGCAAATGCGGCTTTTATCTGTGTATGATCCTTCTAATTGGTCACCTATAATAGCCTTATGAATGTATATTTTTAGAAGCATAAACAGAACAGTTATTGCTTGTGAATCATGCATAACCAGTCACATGATGTCACGTAGATTGCAAAGTTTATAGTATGGACCCTTGGCATGCTTTAAAACTTAAGTGTTATTTGTCCTCTTGCACAACATTTTTTTACCTTTGTTACAGGTTTGTAAACGTAAGGCCAGTACTGGGTTTTGTATACATAGACTGTGTAGGTAATTGTATCCGATCAATACGATCAATAGTTTCTTTATAAATTATGTCTAAGAAGAATTCTAGGTATGGATATTTTTACATACCGTATTTTTTGCTCCATAAGACGCACTCCCCCCCCCAAAAAATAAGGGAAAATGTCTGTGCGTCTTATGGAGCGAATATAGAGCCGGCGGCCTGGTATTGCCCCGTCGTCTCCCCCCCGTGTTAGAATACCGGGCCGTCCACTCAGTTCTTCTGTGCAGCAGAACCTGCTCCACGGTCCTACCTGTTCCTCAGTCCAGCGGTGTCCTCACTGTCTTCTCTCCCTGGCGCCGGCATCTTTAGTTTGGGCACCCGGCTGTGACAGCTTGTGGCTTTCACATGCGCAAGAAGCACTGCGCTTTGTGAATGGCCCCATAGGCTTCTGGGACTGGTCACGTGTCCCAGAAGACTACGGTGAAGGAGGGCAACTCTGCGGAAGTGGTAGCGGGTACCTGTCAAATTCGGTACTCGCTAATCCCCCCCCCCCTTCCCCCTCCACTCCCCAAATGTCTGCAGTCTTTGGTCATCTCCTGTAGTATGTCCGCAGTCTCTGGTCATCTCCTGTACTATGTCCGCAGTCTCTGGTCATCTCCTGTACTATGTCCGCAGTCTCTGGTCATCTCCTGTACTATGTCCACAGTCTCTGGTCATCTCCTGTACTATGTCCGCAGTCTCTGGTCATCTCCTGTAGTATAACGAAAAAGAATTCTCCTGCGCTCCAAGACTCAGACAGGTGGCACAAGATGGAACCAGGCCTGGGGAGAACGAACACCACTGCATAAAGGGCTGTGCAGCTCCAAACCAAGGCTGGGGAAGCCCAATCAGCACTGTAAAATGAAATAAAAAACAAGAAGCGCACCAGCCTTGCGCATTACCTCAGCGACCAAAATTTATTACTTGTAAAAAACATACTCACAAACAGCGAGGAAGAAGGGACTCCCTTCGAAACGCGTCAGCTGTACTGAACACCTATTCCCCTGATGGGACTCATGTTATCTTCAAGTCCCTGAGAGGACTTACATGCCTGATTTTATTCGCTGTTTGTGAGTATGTTTTTTACAAGTAATAAATTTTGGTCGCTGAGGTAATGCGCAAGGCTGGTGCGCTTCTTGTTTTTTATTTCATTTTACATCTCCTGTAGTATGTCCTCAGTCTCTGGTCATCTCCTGTAGTACGTCCGCAGTCGTAAAACCTAGGTGCGTCTTATGGTCAGGTGCGTCTTATGGAGCGAAAAATACGGTAGTTACATTGAGCTTGAACCAATATAACTATGTATATACCATACGTGGCTGATCTCTGTGGAAGTTGGAAGTCACTGAAGTAGGTACCGTCACTACAGTAATCTCTACTAGCTTTCGGGTCCCTTGCTGAGCGGTTGCCCACCTGCATTATGAACACAGGAGGTTGCTTGCTAGGCATGGGTGCCATTCAAAGAATGCTTTTTGTATGTTCTCAATTAATGCAAAGCATTCCCTGATTGGACAAGGTGGAGATTGTGACCTCACCACCCTGCCTTTCCACCTCATCCAAACAGAGAACACTTTGCGTTCATTGGTAAAATGCAAATTTTTCTTTGGTGCCCATGCCAAGGAGGCAACCTGGTGGGGCTGCCATTAGGCTGCATTCACACTTGGTTGCTTTGAAAAATAAAAATGCGCTACATGTTTGCGGGTGCCAATATGTGGTGCAATTTTAGCTTGTTTATCGCACAACAAAATGCTGTCGCCAAAGGCGCCTGGTTCAGTGCCAAAATTTGGTACATGAGCTTCTTTGGTGCATATGTCACGTATACAGCAGCCTATTCAAGTGAATGGGGTGCCCTATGTGTGACGCACATATACATGTGAAAAAAGCTCTTTTCCACTATGTGTAAAATGGGGACTTAAAGTGAAATTATGGCTCTGTACTGCATGGGGAAAATACGGGTGTACTTTAATTATGTATATATATTTCAGTAAGGGCTAAACTAAAAGGGGGATTAGATCCATTAGGTTTCTGTACGTGTATCTAATCTTAAAAAAATATAATATCCTGCAGTTTACCATTCCTTAGATGTGGTGGCTGCATTTGCAGCTCTTTCCTCATTATTTTCACCCTGTGATCCTGCCAGTGTCAAAGTTTCTGTACTAAGGTGACAACACACACTCGCTGTGTGGCATCTAACAAAGGCACAGCGTTGTTGGCTTAGGACAGGACTACAGAACACTGTAGCAATCATGCACACAGAGATGGACGCGGTCATCCATTTTGCTCCAAACCCCTCCTTCTTGTATCTCTCTTTCCAAATCGGGCTTCCTCCTCCAATTTTCCCCCTCCCTCAGGAATGTGGTCTGTGTTAAAAAGGCAACAGGCCCCAGTGGGAGAGCTCCAGGGCTATAAAATTCCAACCGAGCTGGGGCCTAGATGTCTATTAACTTCTCAATCTGGGATATCGTAAAGCCATAAACCAAGTCCTTCACTGAGCTCAAAGGCATTCCAGGTAGTTGTAAAAACAGACTTACATTTAAAAACTCACTTTTCCATATAATTTTATATCTTCAAATAGGACATAATTACATAAACAGGGACCACATATTCAGACAGCTCACTTTAAGATAAGTCGCCAGGTATATTACACCCCCTAGCTGGCATATACAGGAGAGCAGAAAATTATATCTCCTTAACCATCCAAGCAGGTATCATATTTCATATGTAGACGTTCAGCAGAAGATTCTGGGTATTAATCTACTCATGGATAGAATGTTATATGTACCTAGGAAAAGTTATTGGCCAATAGTATAATTTGTGAAGGCTTTGGTCATAGCCTGAGCTCCCACCTACACAACCCCCTCCCCAAATGAGGCGATTGGTTCTCTGCTTCAGGGAGACACCCTGTGGAGTTCCTAGAAAAAGCTAAGCTGAGTTGAAGATTCTCCCTTGTAACATTGGAACCAACTCTTGGAGACGGCCCTTTTGCTCTGAACTTGAAAACTGCTTACCCCAAAGCTTTTGGCAAGTACCTTATCTATCAAAATTCCTTTCTGTTATCCCTTTGCTGTGTTATTGCTCTCTGTGTGTGTGTGTGTGTGTGTGTGTGTGTGTGTGTGTGTGTGTGTGTGTGTGTGTGTGTGTGTATATATGTATGTGTGTGTGTGTGTGTGTGTATGTATGTATGTATGTATATATATATATATATATATATATATATATATATATATATATATATATACACAGTTGCAAGAAAAAGTATGTGAACCCCTTGGGATTACGTGGAGTTTTGCATGAATTGGGCATAAAAATGTGCTCTGAACGTCATCTAAGTCACAACAATAGAAGAACACAGTCTGCTGAACATAATACTACACAAACATTAGATGTTGCCATGGTTTAATAGCACATAACATGTAAACATTCACAGTGCAGGGAGGAAAAAGTATGTGAGGCCCTAGCTTAATGACTTCTCCCATTGGAGCCAGGAGTGAGCCAACCTTGACTCCAATCAGTGTGATGATATTGGATGTGTTGCTGACAGCTGTCCTGCCCTTAAAAAAACACACACTGTTTTGGGTTGACTGGTTTCAAGAAGCACTGTCTGATGTGAACCATGCCTCGCAGAAAAGAGCTCTCAGAAGACCTACGATCAAAAATTGTTGACTTGCATGAAGCTGGAAAGGGTTACAAAAGTATCTCCAAAAGCCTTGATGTTCATGTGTCCACGGTAAGACAGACTGTCTACAAATGGAGAAAGTTTAGCACTGTTGCTACTCTCCCTAGACGTGGTCGTCCTGTAAAAATGACTGCAAGAGCACAGCGCAGAATGCTGCATGAGGTAAAGAAGAATCCCAGAGTGTCAGCTAAAGACCTACAGAAATCTCTGGCACATGCTAACATTTTTGTTGACACATCTACAATAAGGAAAACATTAAACAAGAATGTAGTACATGGGAGGACACCACGGAGGAAGCCATTGCTGTCCAAAAAGAATATTGCAGCACGTTTGAAGTTTGCAAAAGAGCACCTGGATGTTCCACAGCACTACTGGCAAAATATACTGTGGACAGATGAAACCAAGATTGAGTTGTTTGGGAAGAACACACAACACTATGTGTGGAGAAAAAAAGGCACAGCACACCAACATCAAAACCTCATCCCCACTGTGAAACATGGCGGAGGGAGCATCATGGTTTGGGGCTGCTTTGCTGCCTCAGGGCCTGGACGGATTGTTGTCATTGATGGGAAAATGATTTCCAGAGTTTATCAAGACATTTTGCAGGAAAACGTACGACCATCTGTCCGCCAACTGAAGCTCCGCAGAGGATGGGTGATGCAACAGGACAATGACCCAAAGCATACAAGTCATTCAACAAAACAATGGCTGCAACAGCACAGAATACGCCTTCTGGAGTGGCCCAGTCAGAGTCCTGACCTCAACCCGATTGAAATGCTGTGGCATGACCTTAAGAGAGCGATTCACACCAGACATCCCAAGAATATTGCTACACTGAAACAGTTTTGTGAAGAGGAGTGGTCCAAATTGACTCCAGATCATTGTGCAGGTCTGATCTGCAACTACAGGAAACGTTTGGTTGAGGTTATTGCTGCCAAAGGAGGGTCAACCAGTTATTAAGTCCAAAGGTTCACATACTTTTTCCTCCCTGCACTGTGAATGTTTACATGTGATGTGCAGTTAAACCATGGCAACATCTAATGTTTGTGTATTATTATTTTCAGCAGACTGTGTTCTTCTATTGTTGTGACGTAGATGACGTTCAGAGCACATTTTATGCCCAATTCATGCAAAACTCCACGGAATCCCAAGGGGTTCACATACTTTTTCTTGCAACTGTATATATATATATGTATGTGTGTGTGTATATGTGTGTGTGTGTGTGTGTGTGTGTGTATATATATATATATGTGTGTGTGTGTGTGTATATATATATATATGTGTGTGTGTGTGTGTGCGTATGTGTGTGTGTGTGTGTGTGTGTGTGTGTGTGTGTGTGTGTATTGGCTACATCTTTTTCTATAAATTATATTTATTGCACCCTTTTGACCTTTTAGTAATAAATCTTACTTTCTGAAAGTGTTTAACTGTTTCTAAAGCTCTTTAATGCAAACTAAGAATCCCTGCCTCTGAAAAGCGCTACTGTGTGTGTGTTTTTTAAACTTCAGTATATCTCTGCCTGCGGTGACAGTGGTATACCTACAATTATTCAAACATCATAGTGTTATTGCTGATATTGCCGAGTTTCCTCTTTCTCTGTACAAAAAGGAGGTGGTGGCAGTGTGAAGGGTTAATTGCGTAATTAACCTGACCCGATAACAATCGCTCCCAGGCTGCCGGCACACAAGTTGTGGTCCATTAGCTGGAAAATCTTTGTGCGGGGTGTAGCTGGGCGTGGCATTGTTGCGCACGTGACTGCTCGGTTTTAGATTGGCTAGTCTTTCGGTCACTAGTTTGGGGAGAAAGGCTGGGGTCTTACGTCGCGATCGTCACAAACACCTCCCCCTTTCCTTTTCTCCATAACATAGTGGGAGGCTGTTCTCTAGTCCAAAGATGTAGCTTTGAACAGCCTGAACTGATAACAATTAGGACAAGAAGAGAACACAGCAATTATCAGCTTATTAGATTTCTGACATGATAGCAGGTATTTTTCAGATTAAAAGGGACACAGTTAAAGCTTTGTACCAAAACTATTTGACTTGTAGTTGAGCCTATCAGAGCAATATCTAAATCCATTCCCTGCGATTCATAAGGACTGGCGCTGGCAGATTTTGAAAAAGTGTCTTGCGTGTACTTTTAGAACGCATGCAAGACATTTTCGCAAAATCTGTCTCTGTATGCCAAAAGAAAGTTGCTCTTAATTAGCGCCACTTTTGTAAGATACAAACTGTCGGTATTTTAGTTTGAATTTGGTGCAGGTTTTGTGCCACATTGTAGAAGTGGAGCAAATTAGGACGACCTAAGTTTGGCACATGAGTCACTGTCAGAACCAAAACTGTAGCAAAAGTTATTTTAATTAGGCACAACACATTAACAAGAGCAATTAATGCCAGAAAACCGTGCTGAAGCATCATTCAATTCCCTCCCATTGTCTGATCTAAACCCAAGAAAAGAAATTTAATATATTGCAGCTTTCCGGTCCTTGGATGTGGTGGTTGCATTAGTTTTT